TGTGTAGGCAGACAGTGTTGTGCCCGGAAGCTCACCACCTCAGAGGTAGTTAGTTGCCAGCTGCACGAGATGGCAGAAGGGAACATTTGTCCAGTTTCGGGACCAGTCTCATTCTTCTCCAAAGGGTCTGCTGGTTTGTATAAAACCCACTATCTCCTGTTGTGGGTCATATCGTTAGGTCTTTTCTTTCTCTCTAATTAAAGAAGCCAAGATCTATAAGTGCTTAGATGCTAGTTTCTTAGTTTCTTTACTCTACGTATTGTAATACCCAGAGGACAGTCCTTCTGGTCAGTTGCTAGGTTACAGAATACTGGGAGATAGGCAACAGAAGAAATGATGTGGCCAGATCTTTCTCCAGTGCTTAAAGCTTAAAGATGGTTAGTTTCAGTGTCAGATGCCTGACAGCGTATTCTTCCCCATGGTGTTCTGTTTGACACCAGTGGTCCTTTGTTTTGAGTGCCATGTTGTTTTGCCTCGCTACTCTGAGGGACATGCTGTGCTTGGTGTTGTGGCTGCATGGATGAATAGAGCCAGCCATGGGAACTGTTAAACACAAAAACATGTGACAGTGACTTGAGAGGTCCATGCAAAGGACGGTGCAAGGGAAGGGGAAGGGGCCCTGCCTCCCCGGGGAAGTGGAAAACGCTTGCTGGAGGAACAGTTGAGTGGATCCAGTGTAAGGAGACGAGAGTTGAACAGGGCTTGCGGGTGAGCAGGTAGGAAGGGTGTTCAGAGCAGAGGGAACGGTGTGATCAGAGGCTTAGCGATGTGACATGGCTTAGGGCATCCATGGACTGTGGAGCTACACGATGTGGCAGCAGGAGGACACAGAGGCGAGAGAAAGACAGAGGACTGGATCACGGAGCAGATCACTGTGAAAGCAACAGGATACTCAAGAATGAACAATCACCATCATTAAAATTCAGACATGATGTTAGCATCTGTCCTTTTAGGGCAGCTTGAGCCCTTTTGTTTGACTTGGCACATGGCAAATCTAAACCAGAGTTACTTTAATTTCTCTAGACTCAGTAGAAGATCATTTCTTGAGGACCACATTGTAGATTGTTGGTGTAAGTGCGGGAGGGTTTCAGATGAATGTGGTGGGAAGAAGTGTTGGCAGTGGAACCATGGTGCCTCGCTGCTGGAATATTTTTGGGGGTAATTTACTTAATCCCCTTGCCTCAGTTTGCTCATGTTATGGGGTGGGGTGGGGAGAGGGTGGATAGAACCCAACTCATTGGATGCATATGAAGATTGTTAGTTAAAATGCTCTTAAAATAATGGTTGCACAAGTAGTGTTGAATGTTTGCAATTTCTAAAATTATTAGTGTCACCACTGTTGTTTGAGAAAACAGGATACAGAATCCTTCATTACTATACTTTGGGAGAAAACAAAATCCCCAGTGTTTGGAGTTCACCTTCTGTAATGTCAAAATACTGTTTCTAATAATAGCTGTAAGGGAGAAAGCGTTCATAATAAAACAAGAAAGCATAGATAGATTGACATGAAAGAAATTAAATACTCTGACAAGGGGAAATAGTTGTCATTAAACTGAAGGAAAAAGTTTGAAGACAGGCATAAAACAGCAGAGAAAAAAAAAAAAACTATAATTTGCCGCTATCTCCGGAAGAAGTTAGCTGAGCAGAAAAGAATTTGAGTTTTGATCTGAGAGCGTATGGAACTGATGACAGTGCTCATTCAGCTCTGGCACTTGGCATTGGAAGTGCAGTGATGAATCACACATGGTCCTCAGAAGGTGACTGTCTCATAGGGAGTATGAACAATAAAGACTAACACTTTGAAGTGTTCTCTGGAAGAGGTAAATGGGACATCATGAGGATACCTAACCCAGTTTTTCGATGAGAGATGTCAAGAGCCTTAAGAAGTGGCATCTCAGCGGAAGCTGAGGGATTAGTGGGCGGGAGGGACTTGGAGTCTCTCTGGTCGAAAAGTTAAATGATGCATGGGAGGTCTGGAGTGCTGGTGGCATTCAGAAATGCTAGTGGCAATGTAGATAAGACAGGGTGGTGATTTGAGCTCAAAGGAAAGGCAGAATTAGGGAGATGGAACAGGAATTTCAGTTGTGAAAACCCTCTATCTTGTTTGCTGGGCATACATGAGGCTGAAGAGTCAAGAGGCCACACTCTGCCTTCATAATGTTATTTGAGATAGCTTGACACTTTCCAAGTGGAGCGTGTGGGGATTGAACCAAAGACAAGTTCATCTGCCTGATATGCAGCAAAGCCCAGCACAAAGCTATCGGATATGCAGCGAAGAAAGTTTATTTGAGAGGCAACCCAAGGAGGCGATGGGAGAACAAGCCCCAAAGCCCCCTCTCTGAGGGAGGCAAGAACAAGTTTTTTTTCTTTAATAATCATAGGGTTGGGATTATATACATATTGATAAAACAGTGGGGAAACTTACAACTAATCATGAGGAGAGGTAGAGCATGTGCATTCAGTGACCACAAGCATATATCCCACGTTCCTTTTGGGGTGGATACTTAGCATCAGAAGGAGGCAAAATTTAGCACCCCGGCCTCATGCAGTTATCTTAGGACAAGGAGAAGGGGCTATGGGTCTGCTCTGAGAACCAGTATAACCTGAATTGGGTCTTGGACTCCTTATCTCGGGTAAGGAACGTATGGCCTTGCTTGTTCATCCATTGACCTTGAAACCAGGCTGCTGCAGAAAAATCTTCTGAGTTTTTTTAGTAGGGTCTGAAAAGAAACAGTAGCTGATCAGGGAGAAACAGTTCTCTGGAAGGAAAAAAAAAAGGTTTAAGCTTTGTGCTAGTTTCAACCTCATTAAGCCGATGGGGTACAGTTTCAGGGAGGCAACTGAATATATGCAGTAGGCTCCCTGGCTAGAGATAGAGGATCTCCCTGGCAGACCAGGATATGGGAGGCAGGTCTTCTCAGTGCTAATGAAGTCATGAGAGTATGCACACTCACCCCCAGAAGGATCTACAGGATGAAGTAACAAGAGTTCCTACAGTAACCCGTCGGGAACATCACATCACTTCTCTGCCTAATTAGATATAATTAGGCAGAGAAGGAAAGGTAGCCAGAGGACAAGCTGAAAACCAGGGTGGTTTGCTATCCTGGAAAGCAAGGAGAGAGCTTTTTGGGCAGGAGACAGCTAAGAGTCATCAATGGCTACACATGTTATACACAGGGTAACTGACATCACTGAGGAAGAAACTGTTAAGATGAATTTACCAAGAAGAGAGCCACCTAATGACTTTGAATAATTTAAGTGATTTTTATAGACTCAGAAGGGAGTGGAAAGTGAGATTACAATTGACAGGGGTAGATGCCACAGTCTGTGTTTTAAGGAAGCAAAGAAAACTAGGTTGTGTAGACGCACGAGATGTAGCGGGTAGGTCAGGTTTCACTGAGATTACAGTTTTGGTCAGAGACCATGATTTTCTGAAGGTAGCGTTTTGGGTGGAGCTGTGGGTGGGTGCTGCTGTCTGGGAGTTATTTTAATTGTTGCAAGGTTAGGGAGTGCTTGCACGATTGTTGCAAGTGTAGAGGTGAACAGTTGTCTTGATCCATAGTAGAGCACTATTTCACTTTCCTGAAACTCCTTTGGAACATTGGGGAATTTTCTGTATACTGCCTATGGTATTATATAATGGCATCTATTGTTAAAGTATAGCATTGCCGGGTATTAGTAATTACATGTAAACTATCTAGAACAAACTAAGCCAAGATACTCTTTTTCTGGAGCTGGAAATATTTAGTTTCAAAATCCCCATAGGAAAAAAATGCTGAGCAATAGAAGTCTGATTATAAGAGGTATAAAGCTTGTAATCAGTCAACTGGTTGCCAAACTAAATTATAAAATCTGCATGTTGTTGAAAGCATGTCTTTTATAGTGCATGTTAGGAGGAAGAAATACTTCAACTTAGTTGAATAAGTTAAACAATCCAGTTGATTATTTCTTTTTCCATACAGATCACTGTCTATGAAGGTCATATTTGGAATTCTATCTTCTTTATCTGCTTTCAAGATAGTTACTGAAATTGAATGCATAAAACAGGAATACTTGTATAATTTAATCAGGGGTATGCTGTTACTTAATCTTTTTCTTGGTGGTTCCAGGATTTCTAATGATGTTATATATTTGTATCTACAATGGAATTATGTAGCATTTTTAGCTTTTTTTTTTTTCCTATTGTAAAATGACTCAGGGTATTCAGTGCATGTAACGTCATTAATACAACTCTATATTAGTCCTCTTTTTAGACAATGCTTTTAATTACTATGATTTTTTGTTTGCTTTTTGCTTTTGCTCTAATTTGGACAGTTGATTGAGGAACATTCACTTATCTTGGTCAGCAGAGTGGAAATGTTAAAAACAAAACAAAACATATTGCCAGTAGGTGGATTTGAGGACATGATGTAAAGGAAATGTTGGACGGTGTTTATAGATAAATTTTAGAATTTAGGAATATGGTGTAAAAGGAGAGTAATATTTCACTTGAGTAGAGTTCTCTTGACCAGTCTCTTAATCTGAAGTAAGACGGGGATCCAGGGAGTAAGAAAGAAAAGTTTCCTCAGGGATCAAAGTAGATCTATCTCCTTTGTCCTTAGGTCCTCACCCTTACAGGAGAGGCCTCCATGTTCTTTTAGCCCTTTAGGATTTTACTGGATGTGTCTCCATCGTGTTGTTTTACATAATTGTTCTGACAGATCTGTTTGGTTTTCAAGCTCATGGTTAATTAAAAAGGAAGAGGAGTTGCTGAAGTAGAAATGACACTATTCTAGGGGGAAAAATCTCCCCTCCACTCCCCTCAAAATTCTAAAAGCATAGCAACATCATAGCTTTTCTGTAAGTGGATATTGGATAAACAGCCCAGACAGCTACCTCAGGGAGTTTCTGAAGGAATGTGTGATCCACTGATCAGTAGAGGAAGATGAACTTTTATTTGACATAATGCCCTAAAACGCAACATTTTTTTTTTCCATGTAGGGCTTTTCAGAGTAGTAAATTTTGATATTTAAGTGACATCTTTTCACTTATGAAAAGCTCAGTTCACTAACATGAAATGAAGCCTTATATTTTGAAAGACTTTAATGCATATTTATTTTGAGCTATGAAATACGTAATGCTTATTTAATAATCACTTGTTACTATGTCACTTCTTAAGCATCCACTGGGTACAGAGTATACTAGAAAAAGAAGACGTAAGTTGCCTGACTGCTAGGAACTCTCCTTCTGAGAGAGACTGAACCTGAAGTGACAGGTTATCATTAGTTTGTTTCAGATCATGGGAGAGTAATCAGAGCAGAGTGCTATATGCTGTAGAAGGCTTCTTAGAGGAGGAGCGAGGTTTTTTTTTTTAATTTTTTTTTAACGTTTATTTATTTTTGAGACAGAGAGAGACAGAGCATGAACGGGGGAGGGTCAGAGAGAGAGAGAGGAAGGCACAGAATCTGAAACAGGCTCCAGGCTCTGAGCGGTCAGCACAGAGCCCGATGCAGGGCTTGAACTCACAAACCGTGAGATCATGACCTGAGCCGAAGTCGGCCGCTTAACCGACTGAGCCACCCAGGCGCCCCAAGGAAGAGCGAGTTTTGAAATGAATTTAGATAAAAGTGGGGAAGGTTGCCTATCTGTATATATTTTAGGAACATGAACATTAATTTTGTCTTTTCAGTTTTATTGTTGAATGTAAATTCAGCTTGTTCCCCATCAAATCAAAAGCTAATAGGCGGTTATTTAACGCAAACAAGGCACACATCTTACATACTCCCACTAAGTGGGTAAAAGCATGGAAGAATCATTAAAATCTTGCAAAGATCTTTCCCTTTTTTATTCTATTACCTACCTGCTGCCAGACCAGAGCCTTGGCTGGTGAAAGAGATAAATACTTCATTTTCATATTCTCGTTGTCTTATCACTAGATGCCTGTGGTGAACCACCCAAATTCGAAACTATGAAGCTCAAGGGTAAACCTAAAAAATATTATGAGGTTGGGGAGAAAATATATTATGAGTGTCTTCCAGGACGCATTACTGTGTTTCCCGTCATGGCTTATTGTGAGCAGAATCACTCGTGGTTCCCTCTCCAAGAAGCTTGTATGAGTAAGTAAACAAAACAACGTATATGTATATATATTGTTTTCTCTAGAGATTTTTACAAATATTAGGGTCCATTTTCCACTACCGCAATTTTTCTCATGTGAAAAATTAGTTTCAGATAGCAATATTTTTTCCAGAATTTGATAAATCTCCAGGGGATCTTTTACTTGGCAATAATTGTTTACCTGGTTGAATGTGAATTTTTAAGTTTGCATAACAGCTAGGTATAGAAAATAATATTGCGTTAGTTGCAGAGAGTCGTGCAGAATTTTGACCTTGATTTAAATCTGTTCTGAAATTGGCATTAAAGTTTTTTTTCAATCTTATTTCAGAAAAAGAATGCGGTAGGCTAGCACTTCAACATGGTGAAGTTGTTGCCCCAAATAAAACCTTTTCGTTTGATCACGAAGCTCACTTTTATTGTGATGAGGGGTAAGTTGCTCCTTAGAGAAAATCAGGTGAATGTCACTAATTCCATTTTTGTTTTGTTTCCCAAGTGTTCCCATAAAGTTTAGTTCATTAATTTGTATGTGACGACTCACACTTATAGCCAAACAACTCTTGGGCTTTTTATGGAGACTGAAAAGATGCATAATTAATTCAAAGAAATTTATATTGAAGTGAAGCAAAATTGTCTAATACTATACCTAATAATAAGTTTATTGTAAGCACCAAAAATGTAGTAATCATGGTGACTTTATTCTTGACAAAGTATATCCTATTTAAAATGCCAACTCTCAGGTTTGAAGGAGGACGTACAGAGATGTTGTGTTCTTAAAGTCCTCTATTTCTTTCTTTACTTACATTGTCTGCTTGTTCTATCCATTATTGTGGATTGGGTAGTGAGGCTTCCAACTACTGTTGTAGAAATGCCTATTATGTAGAAATGTGTATTTTTTTGTCCAATTCTGTCAGTTTTTGCTTCAGATGTTTTGACGGTCTGCATCAGGTGGCATAAATGTTTACAATTGTGACATCTTCTTGTTGCATGAACCCTTATTAATTAGTAACATATAATATCCTTTGTCTCTGGTAACCTTTTTTAATTTAAAGTCTACTTGGTGTGATATTAGTATAGCCAACCATACTCTCTTTTGGTTACTATTTGCTGAAATATCTTATTTAGTCCATTTACTTTCAGCCTGTTTTCATCTTTGGATCTCAAGTGAGTCTCTTATACATAGCATATGGTGGGATCATGTGTTTTTATCTATTCTACCAATCTCTGTCTTTTGATTGGAGAGTTTTAGTCCACTTAAATTTGAAGTAATTATGGATAAGGAGAGGAATTACTTCTGTCATTGTGCTATTTGTTTTCAGTATGCCTTATAGCTTGTTTTGGCCCTCGTCTCCTACATTACTGTCTTCTTTGTTTATTTGACTTTTTCTGGTAAACTGTTCTTATTCTTTTCTCATTTCCTTTTGTCTATATCCTATGGCTGTTTTTTTGTGGTTACCATGGAGATTACATTTAACATCCTAAAGTTAAAACACTCTAATTTGAATTTATACCAGTTTAACTTCATAACATACAAAAACTTTTATCCTTTATAACTCCATCCCCACCCCATTTGGTTGTTTATTACACAAAAGTACATCTTTATACATCATGTTTGCCATAACATAAACTAATAGTTCTTATAAATTAGTCCTTTCAGTTATGTAGAAAACAAGATTTGGTGTTAAAAACAAAGTTACAGTAATACTATGTTTTACACTGATTGTTTCTTTTTTTTCTTTTAAATGCACTAGTCTCTTAAGTTATAAAGAAAATAAAAATTGCAACTATAAGCCATTGTTACAATAATACAAGCTGTAATAATTTCCCATGTATTTACCTTTAGTGTGATATTTATCTCTCCTATGGCTCAAAGATACTTTCTAGTATCCCTTCATTTCATCTTGCAGGACTCCCCTGAGAATTTATTTCTTGCAGGGAATGTCTAGTGGTCACTAACTCCTTCAGCTTTTGCGTATCTATCAAGTCTTAGTTTCTCCTTCACTTTTTTTTTTCAGAAATACACATTTAAGCTTTATTTTTTTTTAATATGAAATTTATTGTGAAATTGGTTTCTGTACAATACCCAGTACTCTTCCCAACATCCCCTTCACTTTTGAAAGACAGCTTTGCTGGATAGAGAATTCTTGCTTGACAGTTTTTTTTTCTTCTAGCACTTTTTGAGTATATTGTCCCACTGTCTTCTGGCCACCAAAGCTTCTGATAAGAAATCTGCTGATAGTCTTATTAAGGATCCCTTGTATGATGACTCACTTCTGTTGTCCTTCTTTTGAAGATTCTCTCTTTGTCTTGTCTTTTGAAAGTTTGAGTGTTATGTGTCTTAGTTACTCTTTGAGTTCACTTTACCTGGAGGTTTTTGAGCTTCTTGGATGTTTATATTTATGTCTCTTTTTCTTTAATTTTATTTATTTATTTTGAAAGACAGAGAGAGAGAGAGAGAGAGAGAGAGAGAGAGAGAATATGTGTGCTAGAACAGGGGAGGGGCAATAAGAAAGAGAATCCCAAGGGCTTCATGCTGTCAGCCCAGAGCCCGACATAGGGCTCAATCCCATGAACCATGAGATCATGACCTGAGCCAAAATCAAGAGTCGGAGGTTTAACTGACTGAGCCACCCAGGCGCCCCCAATATATTCATGTCTTTCATTAAATTTGGGAAGTTGTCAGCCATCACTTATTCAGATGTTCTCTCTGCCTCTGTCTGTCTCTCTTCTCCTTCTGAGACTCCCACAATATGTATGTTGGTCCACGTGATGGTGTCCCACGGATCCCATATGTTCTGCTCACTTTTCTTCACTCTTTTTTCTTTCTTTTCCTCAGACTCAATAATCCCCATTGTTCTGTCTCCATGTCCACTAGTTTCTCCTGCTGCTCAAATCTGCATTCAATTCCTCTAGTGAATTTTTCATATCCCAGTTATTTTAATGTTCCAGAGTTTATTTTTTATTTCTTTTTAGGGTTTCTGTCACCCCATTGACATTTCCATTTTGATCATGCACGATTTTCTTGACTTTCTCCAGTTCTTCCTTAGTTTTCTGAGCATGTAAAAATAGTTATTTTGAAGTCTTTGTCTAGTAAATCTTCCATCAGGTCTTTTGGGGGGACAGTTTTCGTTTATTTATTTTTTTCTTTTCAGTGTTCCAAACTCTCCTGTTTCTTTGTATATCTTGTGATTTTTTGTGGAATACTGGACATTTGAACCTAATAATGTGGGCACTCTGGAAACCAGATTCTTCCCTTTCCCCAGGGCCAGTTGTTTTATGTTATTGTTCATGTGTTGTTTTGTTTTGTTTTGCTTTGTTTTTGAATGTTGTACAACATCTCTGTTGAAGACCAGCCTGCAATTTAAACTGAAGGCCTTCTCAGTCTTTTCTCAGCCTTTCCCTGGCCATGCACATTCACTTTTTAACTTTATTCACATATTAAGATGTTTCTGAATAATCTTTAATGTCTGGCTCCTGAGAGGGGGAAAAACGAAAAATGATATGGGGATCAAAGAGCACTGGCTGTTTAAATCCCCTGGAAGTCACTTCAGCCAATAAGGAAGGGGCTTAAAAGAGTTAGGAGTAGATGTGACAGCTATGGCTGCCCACCTCATTGACTACATCTCTGTGACCAGAACCAGAATTCAGTGATAAGAGCACAGATCCCTGCTATTCAGAGGACGGGGCCCTTTTTGTCCACCCTTGATCCCCCAAACTGCTTCCAAGCTGCTCCAAGAATATGTGCACAGCTGCCTGCTGGGGGTGAGGGATGGGTACCTGACACCGTGCTAAGATGGAATCGACTGAAATCAATGGAGTTTACCTGTCCAAGTCTTTCCTGGGAAGCTGCAAGCCATCAACAGACTCCAGAGCTCCACAGTAGTCACCCTTGACAGATTCTGCCATTGCAGTTGTTGCCCAGTTGGGTAGACAGGTTCCTGGCACTTCCCACTCTGCCATTTTCCTGGAATTCTTCCCCAAAGACTCTAATATAGAGAAAAGGCAACCGCATCCATGTATCGACATTTTCACTGACTACTTTTTTCACTTGATCAAGAAAACATACTGGAATATCCAGTCAGAAGTTTTAGAGAGAGAGCCTGCTAGGCAGTTTGAGGGATGCCGAAAGTTTAAGATCTATTCTTCCCTCCAAGAAGTTATAGCCTTGTTGAGAAACACAATGTATACAGAGAGGTGTCAAAGCAAAATAATTAATGAGAAGTAGCAAATAAACAAAATTATTCATGATTGTTACAAAAAAGCCGAGCAGAAGAGAGTACTGTGAATTTAAATCATGAGAGAAAATTTCATTATGTAGTATTCCTGAGCTATTCCCAGAAAAATATTCTTACCTAAAAGTATTAAAGGGGCTGAAAACTACCCAGCACTCACTATGTACCAGATGCTAACTCATCTAATCCTTAAAACAATCCCATGGAATATTTACTATTATCCCCTTTTCATAGATGAGGAATCTGAGCAAGAGAAACATTAAAGGACTTGCCTGGGCTCAAACAGAAAGTGAGTCATGGAACTGGGACTCAGATCCAGGCAGGCAAGCTCTAGGGCCTAATGTCTCTACTCAGTTGCTTTTACTGAGAAGAATGGAGTGAGCACAGACATAGAAATGGATGTGCAATGTGGTTGCTGGAGACGACAGAGAGACCAGACTGACAGGTACGACAGAGTTATTTCAAAATCTTCTGGCTTTTGGTCAGTGAGCATTCACCTGTGGAAACTCTATTTCATTAAGTGCAGACATGGTTAGCGCTTTCACGGTATAATGTTGTTTAAGAAACTTCTCCCTCAAACTACTGTAGTGCAGAAACGCAACAGTATTGAAATTTTCATTATTATGCACATCTTGTTAACTAATAGAGAAAACAGTAAGTTTTTCTTTTCTCATTTAGTTATTACTTAGTTGGGCAACAAGTTATAGTTTGTAACCTTCGTGGAAATGACGTGTATTGGAGTGATAACCCCCCACAATGTAAAAGTAAGTAAATTTTCAGTTTAGAATTTACACTAGCAAGCCTCAGTCTTTTTTGACCTCATATCATATCCCCTTTAAGCTTTTAAATTGTCAAAGATCCCAAAGAGATTTTTTTTTTATGTGGGCTGTGTTTATTGATATGCATTATATTGGAAGAAAAACTGAGAAGTTAGGAAAATAATTATATATTCATTCCTGTTTAAGAACAGTAAGCTCAATACATGTTAATGTATGTAGCATATTTTTATGAAAAATAATTTTCTGAAACAAAGGCTGAAAATAATGCCTTTTTTTTTTACATTTTTGCAAATCTGTTTAATATCTGGCTTACAAAAGGACATCTGGATTCAGTCTGTTGTGAAAGCTCACAATTTGTAGCTTGGAAAATTTCACTGTACATTCATAAGGATGTAAAGAAAGACAATATCTTGGTATTATTGTGAATCACCCATTTAGCAAATGGGTATATTTAAATATTATAAAGAATTTCTCAAATAGCAGTGAATTTTATTTTTAATCACCAGCATTTTTTCTCATTACATTTTCAGTAATGAGACTAGAACGAAAGTTAGCATGGCCTTCTAAAGTAATAATAGGTTTTTCATAGAGGTATTTGCCAAAAAGAGTTTTGTTCTGAAAGTTCATTTGTTTATGGCTTGAATTGGGGATAATAATACATTTTCTCATAGAAGCCTAAATAAATAGCTTGTAGAAATCATGTTAATGAATTTACTGAAGGCAGTTCATAGGACTTTACAATGCTATCTTGACACTTTTCCTTTGGCCCTGTCTTGCCTCTTTGTATTTCCTTTTTAAGAGATTTACTGTCAACCGCCTGCAAAAATAAATAACGGAAAATACAGCAATAGCCACAGAGCTATATTTGAATATAATGAATTAATAACTTACAGTTGTAATCCTTCACAAGGATCAGACGAATTTTCACTTGTTGGAGACAGCAAACTTATTTGTGTTGGGAATAACAAGTGGAGTAGTGACCCTCCTCAGTGTAAAGGTAATGATGTTTCCATTTATTTCCTTCTTCATTTGTTAATTGTAAGTTTGGAAACAGTTTGTAAATGGTTTTATCTGTAAGTAAAGAAAACAGTCATATGTGCTTCCTCCTCCTGTTAAATTGACTCCCAACATAGATTAATATAGAGAAAGTCAAATCAGTTTTACAGAGCTACCCACCCCCCATTTCACACAATTCATAGAATTCTCAGAATTCTAGTTCACACATTGTGAACCACTGCGTATATGGCATGAGTTAGGAATTTTTGGCTTGAAAGAACTCAAAAATTCAACATATACTGTCTTAAAAATAAGAAATCTTTTCTTATATTACAAGATGTCTGAGAGTTCTGGCTGGACAGTAAATTATAAAAGACTAACCCTGTCACAGCCAAGATTGATAAGTTCTGTACAAAACATATTTAAAAAACGGGATCGCCTGGGTGGCTCAGTCGGTTGAGCGCCGACTTCAGCTCAGGTCATGATGTCACGTCCGTGGGTTCGAGCCCCGCATCAGGCTCTGTGCTGACAGCTCAGAGCCTGGAGACTGCTTTGGATTCTGTGTCTCCCTCTCTCTCTGCCCGTTCCCCCACTCATGCTCTGTCTCCCTCTGTCTCAAAAATAAACATTAAAAAAAAATTAAAATAAATAAAATAAAAAACAATGATTAAGACACTGGAGAACGATCAAAAGCAGGGGGTCACTGGAGAGGATTTGACTCTTGGAAGAAAGGGACCACTGAATAATAGCAAAATATTTACTGTTTTCGAGCGCACATGGAGCATTCTCTAAAATGAGCAAGATAATTTTTAACAAATTTCAAAAAATTGATATGATTCCAAGTACATTACCTGATTACAGTGGAATGAATGTAGAAATCAAAACAGGTTAATAACTTAGAAATCTTCAAATATTTGAGAATTATGCAAGATACTGCTAACCAACCCATGAATCAAAGAAGAATTCATAAGGCAATTTAGAAAGTGTTTTGAATTGAATAAATTGGATAAAAAGGAAAATACAGCATATTAAAATATCAAAAACATTGCTTAGAGAAAAATTTATGACATGAAATAGTTAATGTTAGAAAAAAAGAAAAGTCTCAATAACCTGTGCTTCTAAAAAAGAACAAATTAAGCTCTAAACAAGGAGACAGAAAGAGAATATCTTTAGAAATAAATCAATGAAATTGAAAAGAGAAAATTACTGAAACCAGTGCCTGGTTTGGGGGGAAAACCAATAAAGTAGATAAAGTTATAGCCAGACTGAAAGAAAAAAAAGAAGATACTTATTATTAACATCAAAAATGAAAAAAAAAAAAAACCCCAAATATCCTACAGATGTTTAAGGGATAATAGGGGAATATTATGCAAACAAATTTGTCTTTATAAATTTGACAACATATGTGTGAAATTGACAAATTCCTTCAAAGACACAAAATACCAACCCAAACTTATTCAAAGATGTACATAAGCTGAATAATTGTCTCCTTCTTCTCCTCCCCCTCTTCCTCCCCCTCCTTTTGCTTTTTTAAGTAAGTTCTATGCCTAATATGGGGTTTGAACTCACAACCCTGAGATCAAGAGTCACATGCTATACCCACTAAGCCAGCTAGGCACCTCCGAATAGTCTTATATCTATTAAAGAAATAGAACTTACAGTTAGAAACTTTCCTAAAGGGGCACCTGGGTGGCTCAGTCAGTTGAGCATGGGACTTCATCTCAGGTCATGATCTTGTGGTTTGTGAATTTGAGCCCCAGGTCGGGCTCTGTACTGATAGCTCACAGCCTAGAGCCTGCTTCTGATTCTGTGTCTTCCTCTCTCTCTCCCTTCCCCACTTTTGCTCCCCCCCCCACCTCAAAAATAAGTAAACATTAAAAAAAACCAAAAAACTTCCCACAGTGAGAACTGCAGGCCCACCTGGCCTCCCTGGGGAATTCTAGCAAACATTTCAGGAATAAATAATAGTACCTTCATGCAAGCTTTGCAAGACATATAAGAGGAGAGGGACACCTGGGTGGCTCAGTCAGTTGCATCCAACTCTTGGTTTCAGCTCGGGTCATGATCTCATGGTTCCTGAGTTTGAGCCCGATGTCAGGCTCTGTGCTGACAGTGAGGAGCCTGCCTTGGATTCTCTCTCTCTCCCTCTGTCTCCTTCTCTGTCCCTCTCTGTCCTTCTCTCCCTGCTCCTTCTACATGCTTTCTCTCTCAAAAATAAAAACAATAATGAAAAAAATTTAAAGACATATAAGAGAAAGGAATATTTCTCAACTCATTTCATGAGGACAGCATTACCCTGATGCCAAAACTGGACAAAAACATTGCAAGAAAATTAAAAAACAATATCTTTAATGACCATAGAACCAAAACTTCTCAATAAAATGTAACAAAGCAAATCCTGCCATGTATAACAATAATAATACATCACAACAAAGTAAGATTTATCCCATAAATGCAAGATTCGTTCAGATTCAAAGATTAATCAGTATACTAGATAAGGAGACTATAAATAAAAAAAAAGTGAAACTTTTAATAGATATTTGAAAAAAAGCACTTCACAGAATTCATCATCTTTTTCAGGATAAAATTTCTCAACAAAGTGGGAATAGAAAGGAAGTAACTACTTCATTCTGATAAAAGCCATCAACAAAAATCTCAGAGCTAACATTATACTTAATATTAAGACTAACTTCCCCCCAAGCAGGAACAAGAGAAGGAAATCCACTCCCACTACTCTCCAGCGTTGTACAAGAGGTCTTAGCTACTATAACAAGGCAAGAGAAAGAATTAGACATACACATTGCAAAGTAAGAAATATAGTCTCTATTCACTTATGACTTGGTTGTATACAATATTACAATGACTGAAGTTTTAACAAGGTTTCAAAATATAAGATCAGCATATGGAAGACAGTTATATGTCTATATAGTAGGAATAAGCCATTAGAAATTGAAATTTTAATCAACAAAACTAAAAGGCAAACAACAGAATGGGAAAAGATATTTGCAAATGACATATTGCATAAAGGGCTAGTACCCAAAATCTGTAAAGAACTCACCAAACTCCACACCCAAAAAACAAATAATCCAGTGAAGAATTGGGCGAAAGACATGAATAGACACTTTTCCAAAGAAGACATCCAGATGGCCAAGAGATACATGAAAAGATGCTCAACATCACTTGTCATCGGAGAAATACAAATTAAAACCACATTGAGATACCACATCACACCAGTCAGAGTGGCTAAAATGAACAAATCAGGAGACTACAGATGCTGGCAAGGATGTGGAGAAACGGGAATCCTCATGCACTGTTGGTGGGAATGCAAACTGGTGCAGCCACTCTGGAAAACAGTGTGGAAGTTCCTCAAAAAATTAAAAAAAGATCTACCCAATGATCCAGCAATAGCACTCCTAGGACTTTACCCAAGGGATACAGGAGTGCTGATGCCTAGGGGCACATGTACCTCAATGTTTATAGCAATGCTCTTAACAATGGCCAAATTATGGAAAGAGCCTATTGTCCCATCAACAGAAGAATAGACTAAAAAGATGTGGTTTCCTATATACAATGGAATGCTACTTGGCAATGAGAAAGAATGAAATCATGCCATTTGAGCAACGTGGATGGAACTGGAAGATATTATGCTAAGTGAAATATGTCAGTCAGAGAAGGACAGATATCATATGTTTTCACTCATATTTGGATCTTGAGAAACTTAGCAGAAGGCCACGGGGGAAGGGAAGGGAGAAAAAAAATAGTTACAGAGAGGGAGGGAGGCAAACCACAAGAGACTCTTAAATACAGAGAACAAACTGAGGTGGATGGTGGGGGGGTGGGGGAAAGGGGAAAATGGGTGATGGGTATTGAGGAGAGGGCTCTTGCTGGGATGAGCGCTGGGTGTGGTATGTAAGCCAATTTGACAATAAGTTACATTCATAAAAAAGAAAAGAAATTGAAATTTTAAGAAGTATTTATAGTAGTTCCAAAATATGAAATTCTTGAGTATAAATCTAACAATATATGTGAAAGATATTAATGCTAAAACCTACTAAACACTAATAATGGAAACTAAAGAAATCCTTAATCAATGAAGGGATATACACTAGGTACGGTTTGGAGGATTCAATGTAATAGTCAAGCCTCTCTAATTTATCTAAACTCAGCACAATCCCAACAAAAATCCTAGCAGAACCTTTTTTTAATGGTTATTTGTTCTTGAGAGACAGAAAGACAGAGCATGAGTGAGGGAGGGGCGGAGAGAGAGAGAGACAGAATCCAAAACAGACTCCAGGCTCTGAGCTCTCAGCACAGAGTCCTTTGCGGGGCTCAAACCCACAAGCCATGAGACCATGACCTGAGTCGAAGCTGGACACCCAACTGACTGAGCTCCCCAGGTGATCCCAGCAGAACCTTTTGTATAAATTAAACTGATTCGGAAATTTATGTGGAAAGACAGAATATCTAGAATAGTGAAAATAATTTTGAAAAAAATTAGAAGATTCGCTCTACCGGACGTTAAGACTTAATATAAAGCACACTTAAGGCATATAATCAAAACAATGTGGTATAGGTAAAAGGATAGCCATATAGAGCAATGGAATAGAGTACTACATCCAGAATTAGATACCTGCCAATATGTCCAGTGGATTTTCTTCAGGTGTACGGGTATACAAACAGTTCAGTGGAAAATGATGATATTTTCAACAAACGGTACAACACAATCGGATATCCATATGCCAAAAAAAGGGAACCTTCATCGATGTTAGAACCATAGACAAACATTTATTCAAAATGAATCATAGAGATCCAATAATTCCACTACCGCGTATTTATCCAAGATGAAAACACTAATTTGAAAAGATATATGCACTCCTGTGTTTATTGCAGCATTATTTAGAATAGTCAAGCTATAAAAGCAACCTGAGTATCCATCAAGAGATGAATGGCTAAAGAAGATGTAATGTATGCGTGCGCACACACACACACACACACACACAC